ATTGTCTAATCTTAAATTGCTTTATGGAAGTGGTGTTCCATCGGGGCAAGCAGGGCAAGCAGTGCTTGTCTAGTAAACTCTACCAACAGACATTAATTTAAACATACAAAAGAAAAAAGCATCTCTCCTTTCATCTCAAACTTCTCACCTGTTTGCAAGTTACTGCCATCTTGTGGCCATAGTTGGTTCGTGGCTCTGGAAGCAGAATTAACTCCGCTTGACTCCATTCTTTGGAATCTGCATCGGCCAATGTTTTCATGGGCAAATCTGTGTCCCAATAAAAATGGCTTCAGCCTGTCAAGCTGAGAAGCCATGTTTGCATATGTACATCATAAACTTCTACTCTCTGACTGATAGTGGAAACTGATATGAAGATAGTGTGTGTGTGTGTGTGTGTATGGAATCACTGTTGCTTTTATTCTGTTATACATGCATAACCTGTTTAACTGAGAAGACTATTAGTACAACTATATGGTCACTTTTGGCTAGGAGCATACACACTGAAGATATGTTATATTTTTGTGTAAACAAAATGTTAATAAAGTAGTTTTAGCCATATTTATGTATTGTTTTGTCTTATTTTTGGTTTTCCTTAAGAATACCAATGGAGTCAACTTCTACAACATCCTAACTCAGAGTTCAGATGAGAAGCTCACCTCTTCTGCAGGGCTGGACTTTATCAGTAAGACTCTGATCTAAATGATTCCATCTAGTCAGTAAACTAGACCACATGGGTTTGGTGATTTTAAAATAAACCTGTCCTACTTAAGTCTAAATGTAAAGTAAAAGTAAAAAAAAAAAAATTCTTCGATGACTATCTACTGATGCTCTTCCTACTTTATACCAGGTCTGCAGAAACATCGTCACATTCGCCCCCTCCACAGCCAGTCCCTGAGTCAGCTGATGAATGGACCAATAAGGAAGAAGCTGGGTATCATTCCTGACAATGTCACATGGGGAGGTACGATTTCTTGAAGTGAAAGATCAAGGAACTGTTTGTCCTTTCATTTTAGATGCTTGAAAATACTAAACATCATAAAACCTTGTTCCCTCTCCTGTTTTTGCTGTGACCTCAGGTCAGGCTGATGAGGTCTTCACTAACATGGCACAAGACTTCATGAAGCCAGTGGTGGACATAGTTGACCAGCTGCTGACTGCTGGAGTTAAAGTCACAGTCTACAATGGACAGCTTGATCTCATCGTGGACACTATGGGTTAGTTACTCAGTAAATTA